TAAAAAAAATGGGCAGGAAACGTAAATAGGCACTTCTCCAAAGATATACAAATGGCCAGCAGGCATATGAAAAAATGTTCATCATCACTTATCATCTGGAAAATGTAAATCAAAACCATAATGAGATACCACCTCACACATAGGAGAATGGCCCCTACTAAAAAAAAAAAAAAAAACCAGAAACAAGTGCTGACAAGCTTGTAGAGAAAAATGGAACCCTCTTACAAAGCTCGTGGGAATGTAGACTGGTCTAGCCACTAAGGAAAGCTGTGTGGAGGTTCCTCAGAACACTAAAAATGGATGTGCCGTATGACCTACCATCCATTCTTAGGACTCTACTCCCAAAACACAAAAACACTAATTCAAAAGAAATTTGCACTATGTTTATTGCAGCACTATTTACAATAACCAAGATATGGAAATAACCTAAATGACCCCAAACACATGAATGGATCAAGAAGATATAATATATATACACAATGGAATAAAAAAAGATAAACTCATGTTATTTTTACCTATATGGATGGAGTTGGAAGGGATTAAATGAAGCAAAATAAGTCAGAAGGAGAAAGATAAAAATGGGTTTCACTTATTCTTAAATGTGAAAATGTTAAGCACTTCATTGTCAAGTAAATTTCGTGCATCTCAATTAGATTATATATTCTTTTATAAACTTATTCATGGAATTTCATTCCTTCTTCATTGTATTTTTTTTTTCCTTTTTGGATAACATTACAAAATGGTCTCAATGCAAGAGGTTATTAAGATATTCTTTCAGAAATGGAACACAAGAAAATCATAGAAATAGATCAAGTGTCACTTGTTTAGACAACTGATACTAATTTCAACAAATGCTTTTGGGAACCTGAAAACTATTCTTTCACTTTGTCTTTTTCCTAACAATTGGGTAACATAAACAGAGAAATGAGCATAAGCTATTTATAAATCCCAGAAAAACTTGTTGGCTGAGATAACAGGCTGTCCAATTCTTAATGGACACAATAAGCAATCTATAAATGTACTGTATTAATTCTAAAGGGTTAGTTCTCTCAGCCTAGGCAGTTGCTTGCTTTTTACTGAGTGTGATTTTCTTTTCTCTATCCCAGAATGCTTACATTAAAATACCACCCCTATTTTAAATGTTTTCATTGAAAAAGTAAGTCAGGTTTGTTGAGTATCTGCAGTTCACATTCCAGGATCTTGTGACTATGAAACAATTTACCATCTGATACTGATATGGTTAGATAACAATGTAGTAGAATTTGGAGGTATGTTCTCAAATGATGAGAAGATATTGCTGAAGTAGTTGCTTTTTTTTTTTAATCAGTGGAAACAGTTTTCAGTTTCTAAGTCATCTTTCCCCTTTTATTACTCTTTCTAAATGTACTCCCCATACATTGCTCAAAGTAAGTTTTTTTGTTTTTTTAAGATTTATTTATTTATTTATACAAGCACTGGCCACAGTCAGAAGCGCTGGAAGGTGAGAGAACCCACCAGAGCCAGAGTGGGGAGCAGAACAGGCAGACTGATGAAGTACACTGCTGAGGGGAGTAGCGGGCGGCAGGAGAGGTCTGTGTGCCATGTGGGACCCTCGCCTGGTGGCCTGGGATCGAACGGGTGCTCAACTGCTGCGCAACCCAGCTCTCAACCGCTGCGCCACCGGGGAGGCCCGCAAAGTAAGTTTTTGCTGGAAGTACTAGGTGTGAGGGACGTGCCAAGCTGGGTGACCTAAGAGTATAATCAAGGATTCCTGCTGTTTCTACCTAAGGTTTTTTGGGGCAGTCACAGAACCAAGACAGCTGTTTTAGGACCACTACTCTGGAAATTTGACAGTTCAGTGATCTCCCTAGCTTTAGTGAGTTAAGGTACTTGTTACGTATAACTCTACACAGGAAGCATATGTACTTGCAGGTACATCCTGCTTTTTATCATTTTTATTAGTTATGTGAAGGCTTTTAATCTATTCTGGACCAACCACGAATTATATAGCTTTTGGCAGTTAAATAATATGATTTTTTTGTCATATTATTTTTTTTGTCCTCAGTAAAATCATTTCAAAGCTATTTGGGTAACAACCAGAATTCTTATTTCTTCATAGCCGCTTTATGCAATAAATTCTCCACATTTTTGAAAGAACAAATGTGCAAAAGAAGCTGGGGCCTTTGAAACTTTGGGGAATTTCACTTTCAAGAGAATAATTTTTTTAGTTTTAAAAACACTCAAATCTTTCAGCACCTAAGTAACAATTTTTAACTTTATAAATCTTATTTTTTGCTGAGGTTTTTTTTTTAACACCTTTAATCAAACCCTTATCAGAAATATAGTCCATTTCTTGATCTCTTCTAAACTGTCTTTATCATCACTTGTATTTTATAACAAATCCTTTTCATGTTCTTTAGGAAGGAATGGTCTTACAAATTTTCCCGATTTTTTTCTTTAAATGTGTAAATTAAGAGTATCCTAACAGGTCCTCCCTGGTGGCTCAGCGGGTTGAGTACAGTGCTGTGAAGCTGTCTGCAGCCTCTGCAATGCAGGTTCAATTCCTGGCCAAGGAAATTCCCACATGGAGCAGCAGACCTCTCCCATTGCACCCGCTGCTCCCCTCAACAGTGCTTTCGGTCTCTGTCTCTGATGAATCCTCTCACCCTCCTGTACCCCTGGCCTGTACCCCAGCTATTGTATATACAAAAAATAAATTTTAAAAAAAGAGTATCATAACAAGTAATCAAGGTTTATGTAATAAGATAATGTAATGGGACAAGCAGCAAATGATATTTATTTTTCAAATAACCCTTCTACATGCAACATCACCCACTGATCACCACTTTTAGCAAAATTATTTCTTTATAAGTTCATAACGAATTTAACCAGTTGATCTAAGTTACTGGTGGAAAACTGTCTCTAACAATTACTGAAATTACAGATTTAGAAATGAACTATTCCATTAACTGTCTCTGCCACAATAGCAGAGATAATGTTACACTTCATTCCTTTACTCTTTCCCACCCGCTGAAGAAATGGGGGATGTTATTATGTGGTCTTATTTCACATCCTGACCTCAGTCACTTGGATTTGCAAGACAAGGCTTCTACTAAGGTTAAAAGACAGTATCTCTGTATATTATTTACAACTAAAGACCTAAAGTTATCTGTAAATTTTAATTATCAAACGATCCTTTATTCTTCAAAGATTATAGAACTGAGTAAAGTGATTAGCTGATTTCTAAAGTCACCAAAAAACGACTACTAAAGTTGTAATTAGATATATCTTAGATTTTACGTCAAATTTCAAACGCTGCCCTCCCCATTTTTAAGAACTGCTTAAAAGAATGGCCTCATCATTTCTTTGGCCATTGAAAGTAACTAATATATGATAAATTCTTCAATACTTTCATAGCTGCTCTCTGCCCTACGACAGGAAAGGGTGCTTTCTGACTTACTCTGGTTGTTCATGGCCCAATCCAAACCATATTACACTCTGCTCCAACCAAGAGTTTTAGTATAAACAAAAGAAAGAAATACAACTATTTAACGTAGTAGGTTCTACATTTATGGAGCCCATAAGCTGATTTCATGCTGAAAGTAAAAACAGTCTCAAGAGCTTAAATGAATTCTTCGGTGCTGGAATCATAGCAAATTCGGGAAAATTAGGAATATGTTGGTAACCTCTAATCTTTTTTAAACTGACCTCACCCTGGGCAAGTAACCATCTCCTGATGCCATTGTTGGAGACAGAACTTCTGGCTGAAAGATCATTTTTCTGACTCAATCTGACTTGCTGTTCTTGGTTAATCACCCCCATTTCTCTCAACAGTTCGCTCCTCTGACTACAGAGGTCAACACTTATTTACAGGAAATACTTTTTAAGTGATTGGGTGCCTCCTCTTTATCCTCTCGCAAATCTTCCCAACCCCCATTCCTATCGCCCTCGCTTCACTAAGGTTTTGCTAAACATTAGACACAGCCCGTGACCTCCAGCCCTCAGTGGCTGGGAACAGACCGATACGGAAACATCCCACGGGCGCGACCGACAGCGTCTCCACACTCGGGAGGTGAGCGTACTTTGCTCTCGAACTCTTCAAGACCCACAGCGCAAATTTCAAATTAAAACATTTTAAATACAAAAACCGCCCCCCTTTTTTTCACCTTTAGCCCCGCCCACCGCCTCCCCCTCCAGCCGCCTCCCCCTCCAGCCGCCTAGCAAAACGCCGCAGGAAACCGGAGGGGGCGGGACGCTGACGTCACGACGCCGGTGCGTCACGGAACGGCGGCGACTGCGGCGCTAGCTGTGGCTGCGGCAGCGGCGGCATTTTAGTCGGCAGCGGCGGCGGCAGCGGCGCGGCTGCTCCTCCCAGCATCCCTGGCGCGGCCATTTCAGCCCCATCTTGGCCGACGGGCGAGCGCTGCGGCCGCCGCTTCAGCAGTTTGAGTTTCAGTTTCTCCGGGGTCTGCGAACCGGGTGCACGGAGAGGAGCCGAAGACGCTACCGCCACTACCTCACCCCCGGAGCGCCTCCGCCCGCCCGCCCTCCGCCGCCCCTCTCTCCAGCGCCGCGAGGAGGCCGAGACAGCCGCCGCCGCCCGCCGCGGGGTGGCTCCCCCTGTCAGGGGAGGACGCGCCGCGCTCCCCGCCCCCGGAGCGGCTTCCGCCGAGACGGCCGACATGTCCCTGGGGCTGAGCTCCGGCTAGAACCGGGAGGGAGGGCCGCCTGCCGCGCCGGAGCCCCGCCGCCCGCCCGCGGCCCTTCGGCTCGCCCCGCCGCGCGGCTCCCGCCGAACCCCGACTCTCCGCCCGGAGTCGCCTCTCCTTCCCGGAGCGCCGGAGCGCCCGCGGCGGGCGCCGGCCCCGGCCTGAGGAGCCGGAGCGCGGCAGCACCGCCCCTCGCGCCGCCGCCGCCTCTCCGCCCTCCCACTCCCACCCCCGGCCTGGGCCTGCTGGCCGCGCCGCGCCGGCTGACCACGGCGGCCCCGCGGCGGGAGGAGGAGGCCGCCGGCCCGCCCCTGGGACTGCGCTCGCCCCGCCGCGGAGGGGATTGAATTGAGGCGCCGCGACTGCGGGAGGAGAAAAGGAAGGAGGAGCCGGCGCGGGAGCGGCCCGGGGGCAGGGACCGGCCCTGAGAAGGAAGCTGGAAGGAGGATGTCTCTCGGGGCGGCCGGCGCCGGCCCGTGACTCTCGCCGCGGCGGGCCCAGACCCTGCGCACGCTCGGACTTTGTCATCGGGGGCCCGTGCTCAGCCCTTCCTGGTTTCCGGCGACACCGCGGAGGAGCCGGCTCGCCTCTCTGCCCTCCCGCCTGCCTCGCCATGTCCAAGATGCCGGCCAAGAAGAAGAGCTGCTTCCAGATCACCAGTGTCACCACGGCCCAGGTGGCCACGAGCATCACCGAGGACACCGAGAGCCTGGACGACCCGGACGAGTCACGGACAGAAGACGTCTCCTCCGAGATATTCGACGTTTCTCGCGCCACGGATTACGGCCCCGAGGAGGTCTGCGAGCGCAGCTCCTCCGAAGAGACGCTCAACAATGTTGGGGATGCAGAGACTCCCGGGACGGTCTCCCCAAACCTGCTTCTCGACGGGCAGCTGGCGGCCGTCGCGGCTGCTCCCGCCAACGGAGGAGCGGTTTCGGCCCGGAACGTGGCCGGGGCGCTGGCCAATACCCTGGCGGCGGCCGCCACCTCGGCCCCCTCCGCGGGGACACCCGGCGGCCTACCGGCTGCGGGCTCGTCTGCGGGACCAGGACCTGCAACCCCCTCGCAGCCTCCCACCGCTTGTAGTTCGCGTTTCCGAGTGATCAAGCTGGACCACGGGAGCGGGGAGCCCTACAGACGGGGCCGATGGACGTGTATGGAGTACTATGAGCGGGATTCCGACAGCAGTGTCCTGACCCGGTCCGGGGATTGCATTAGGCACAGCAGTACTTTTGACCAGACTGCAGACCGCGATAGCGGCCTGGGCGCCACTGGAGGGTCGGTGGTGGTGGTGGTGGCCTCCATGCAGGGGGCGCACGGGCCCGACTCGGGAACTGACAGCTCCTTGACTGCTGTGTCACAGCTACCCCCATTGGAGAAAATGAGCCAGCCTGTTCCGGCCCCGCCGCTGGGTTTTGGCGTTGGGCAGCCACAGCCGCCGCCGCCCGTAGGTGGGGCTGTGGCTCAAAGCTCTGGTTCCCTGCCGCTGTTCCCGGGATCCGGGGCCGGGGCGCACCAGATGATGGCAGCCCAGCAGCCCAGCCAGCCCCAGGGAACTGGGCCCGGCGTCACCCCTGCGGGACCTAAGGGACAGGGCCTACCGCTGACGAATGTAACCCTGGCGCAGCCCGGCCTGTCCCTGCCTCCGCAGCCAGTCCCGGCGGTCGGCGCTTCAGTGTCCCAGCCGGCCCAGCAGTTCGCCTATCCCCAGCCTCCGATACCGCCCGGCCATTTGCTGCCGGTCCAGCCCTCTGGTCAGAGTGAGTACCTGCAGCAGCACGTGGCCGGCCTGCCGCCACCAACCCCTGTGAAGCCGGTGTCCACCGGCGCTGGAACGAGTCCCGCCACAGCGGCTAGCCTTCCTCTGGGAACCGGCCCGAGTGCCTCCGCGGTGGGCGCGCAGATACTGGGTGCCTCTTCCCTGCCCAACGAAGCGGTGGCCCCGGGGTCGGGACCCGCGCAGGGCGGGTCGGCGGCTCCTAGTCAGCCGGCTGGAGTGCCCCCAACTGCTGTGGGAGGCGCGGTGCAACCAGGCCTGGTTTCTGCCGGGGCTGGACAACCCCATTCTGTGCCTCCGCCGCAGATGGGTGGTAGCGGTCCGACGCCAGCCGTGCCTGGTGGCTCTCACGCCGTGGTGTCCGGAGTTCCAATCGTGCCTGCAGCCGTGCCCGCCCCAAGCGTGCCTAGCGTGTCTACCACTTCTGTTACTATGCCAAATGTACCCGCGCCTCTGGCCCAGTCGCAGCAGCTGAGCAGCCATACTCCAGTCAGCAGGAGCAGCAGCATAATCCAGCATGTGGGGCTGTCCTTGGCGCAAGGCACACCCAGTGCACCAACGAGTCTACCACAGTCAGACCTAAGCCAGTTTCAGACCCAGACCCAGCCTTTAGTGGGGCAAGTCGACGATACTAGAAGAAAATCAGAACCCCTACCTCAACCACCACTTTCTCTCATTGCTGAAAATAAGCCTATTGTGAAACCTGTTGCAGATGCCCTGGCAAACCCCCTTCAGTTAACACCTATGAACAGTCTCACCACCTCTGTATTCAGCATAGCTATTCCTGTTGATGGTGATGAAGACAGGTATGGAAATCTTATTTAAAATATTTGACGGGAATGCTTGGCTAAACATACTTTTAGAATGCAACTTTGGGAAAGGAGGTTGTTGTTGTTATTTCAGTTTGAGGCCCTTAGTGCACTAAAATATAAAAGTTGATTTGTGATTTATCAGGTCTTGAAAAGACATTAGTTTTACATTTTTGATGTAGAGGTGTGAAATGGGAGAATTTGGTCTTGTCACAGTAGTTTCAAAGTGCTAAAGTGGACAGGGATGCAGCATTGTTTATTTGAGCAGTTGGGTGTTAGCTTACTCCTCTATTTAAAGGTCATAGCCACTAGTTATGCCCCATAGATACTTGAACACTTACGGTAGAAAATTTCGTGAGTTTTGAGACAGGATAAAATTAGGAGTTTCCCAATTTCGGGAAGCCAGAAGACCCTCTAGTAGAGGATCGTGTGGGTAAGGCATGTCCTTCAGTGTATCTGGAAAGACTAGAGAGATATGGTGAAAAATGTCAGATTTGGCTTTGAAGATCATATCTTCATTCAGCCCTTTAATAGAAAAGGGTAGAAAGGTCAGGAGGCTTCCAGGGGTGACTGTAAGGTTTGTTGTTTTTTTTTTTTTAAGCAAGTGTATTGGAAAGATGTTCTAATCTTCCATCAGTCTTTACTGCTGAAAGGGGAATTATGAGAGACTTTGACAGACAAAAACTATTTCTTGAAATTAAGAGTAATGATAAAAATATGTGTTAATTATAGGCTTCCTCTATTAAAGGATGCTTTTTTAATACTTCAAGTGCAAATTGATGTATTGCCACACCAATTCTCCAATAGTTGATGTTTGGCTATGGTTTAATGAGAATTTTAAGTGGTTTTCAGGAAGTAACACTTGAAATTTGACATAATGCAAATTTCTGAAATCTGGCTTGTTGCAAAGCTTTAAAAGTACAGAGAAAGTTTAAGGTATCTAATAAGTAGACTTTTGCTGGGGGTTTTGTTTGAGAGATTAGTTTTAGATGTGTTAAAAAATCAAAACCTTTTATGGAGTTCCAGAATAATTAGTATGTAGAATACAGTGAGATCTGTTAAAGCCTTCTCTTTCTGTTTTATCCTGAGTTCCTTCACATTCTTAATTTTCTATTTCTAATTAGCCTTGTATTTTTGTTGTATACGTCTGTTGGTTTGAAAAATGCTCACTGAAATTCATCTTCTCTGATTTTTGTAATTCAAAGTTCATCTTTTTTTGTGGGTGACTTGCTTATGGGGGAGTCTTCCACTTGAGAACTCAGCGAAATCACATTTCCATAAGTGAGCTCAGCTAGCTAGTGGCTGAGAAATTTTATATGGATGGTACTACCAAAAAACTGTTTCCAATAGCCATTCTGAAAACAAAAAAATTCCTCTTTATACCTATATTTCACTTTTCATATACAAGGGCATATACCTGAAATGCAGTTTGAGTTCATTTGTTCACCTTTGGTTAATAGTCAGCATCTTCCCTTTTTAGCTACCGGAAACCAATCTTTTCTGATGAGTTGATTAAAAAACCAGTTACCTCTCCACCCATGTTGTTTCTGCCCCATATTTCTTCAAGAAATGATGATCGCCTTAACCAGTCTCTTCTGTTTCCTCCTCCTCCCTCCCCCACACACATATGCATACCTATGAATGAAGAATGTATTTTTCCTCCTGTTCACACCTATATACAAAATATATAATTATATTTCCCAGAATGTCAGTGTGATATGGTGTGAAGTAGAGAGATCTATTGACAGATGGAAACTCTGGGATTTGTATTCTCTGGGTGTGACCTCAAAAATGCATTTAATTCACCTCTACTGTATTAAAAGAGTTGATAATCTCAGGAGTCACATCTCCAAACATGTAAATGTTTGAACTACAGATACTACTGTATCAGTGTTCTTATCAATTGCAACAATTAATCCACTGTAGGGGTTTTGATCTGTGTGCAGTTTTATTTTAAATGTGACACTTTTCTCCCCACCCATTCTTTTAAAATCTGCTTTGCTCATCAAATGTGCATTTCTAAATTTTGTTATAGTCTTCCATTGATTTTTAATTTAACATGCTAATTTCCAAGATGTAATCTTACATACACATTTGACTATTTTATCACTGGACCGATATACCTGGTGAAGGAATAAATCCATTAAGTAGTAGTAGTTTTGAGGGTTTTTTTCTGATGGAAAATCTTTGTAAAAGAGAGGGCATTTTAAAGTTTTATGCTTGAAATTAAATAACATGGTTTTTCCAGGCCTTTGTTTAAGTTACTGAAATGAGTGCGTTTGAAGACATAGTACTAACAAAATCCTAATTTTAATACAGTGATTTTTTAACTGCTTTTTTAAATTAGAGTCTGCGTACAGTTTTATTAGCAGTCATTCATAATGTAAGCTGAAACATTGGAGTAAAAAGTCTTGAGTAATTATGATATAAACGTTATAAACAGATTGACAAATTTCAGCTCCTCAAAATGTAAGTACAGTTGTAGTAATGTTAAGATCTTAGTTAACAGTCTAGGAGAAAAAAGGAAGGAAAATGGAAGGTTAACATTATCTTGTGATTTTATTTGCTTTACCTAATACAAGATTCTCTTGGTTCATTTTGAAACCACTTACTTTAAAGAATCAAACATTATATTACTACACGTTACTAATACTGCCTTTCAACGGGACTAATAGTTGTGTATACAAAGTAAGAAATTTCTTGAAGTTCTCAGTTAACATTGCTTACTGCTATAAAGGGAATAATAATTACATTATTACTATAAAGTTTATATATCATTCTATACATTTTCATTAGTCTGACTATGGTTAGTTGTTGAGTTTCTTCAAATTGATTTTGTGTAAACTGGAGGATATGATGGCTGAAATATAGTTTATAGCAAAATGTATAGCCACTTTTATAGTGAATGTTAGAAATTTGCTTAAACTACCTACACATTTAACAGACGCCTTTTTGGTAAGTGGAGGGAGCCACAAAATATTATGACTGGCCCTTTTGGGAAAGCAACAGTGCAGATCATTTTCCATAGATAGCTCACCAATGTGAACTCTTTAGGCCACATTCCAAGGAACTCTTATGAATGACTGCGATTGTAAACTGTCAACTGCAACCAAGAGACTGTTGAAAACCTGATTATAAGGATTTCTTGGTGGAAAATACCTTGTTAATGGTTTTATTTTGTGTAGTTTACTAATGACTACTGATAAAGTATTATAAATTGCAAATGTTAATTGGTGTGTCCTGGTATGTACTCTTAAGTACAAATTTGGTTTGCCCAGTTACAGATAACACACACATACATGTTTTTATGCAGTTTTTTTTTTCCACTTGGAGTTTAAATGTTATAGATATCCTATTGTGTATCAGGAGGCAAAACTGTCTATCACTGGTACAAAATCTGTAATAAAAATTCTTAGAACCCCAATAGTCTGAACTGCCTTTAGACTTTCAAAATGAAAGCTTTCTTGAATCTCCTTTTTTGGGAAGTTTATGTTTCTTCCATATTGTGGAGGTAATTTAGCCCTTCTTCCTTTATTATAGATGAATATTTTATCTATAGTGCATTTATTAAATGGCACAGTGATTACTAAGAATATAGTTTAGTCATAAACATGGCTCTAAGGAAATTACTGTAGGTTTTCAGAAACCCAAACCAAGAGTTGTGCCAGTAGAAGTATGGCCTCTCTCATCTACAGCAGTATATTGTTTAAAATCTTCTATGTACAAAATGATATAGGCTAAACATTTACTTTTTAGAAAACATAAGGGCTTATATGTATGTGAATAACACACTCCAAATAACTAATTTAGTAACATTTGTTTTATCCTTGAAAAAAAACTTAAACTGAGTCACCTTTGTGAAAAATCATTTGATACAATACTAGTAGTGGGGTGTATGTGTTTTTTTTACTTAATGAGAATAAATGTGGTAATGTTATTCTCTGAAGATGCTAATGGCACTAATTTGGAAATAGTAAAATATACTAGCTTTGTGTATCTAGTACTTGGCTAATTTGAAATGAAGTTTAGTTCTCTGAACCAAAAAAAAAAGATTGGAAGCAAACATACTCTCTAGTGTGTACCAGTAAAAAAGAGAAGCCCCACTAATCAGGTGGCAAAGAAACCAAAATGAATCCCTTTCCTTAGGTATTCCTGATAGAAGAGTTCAGTTTGTACTCCACTATCTAAAAAGTCAGAAGTTGCCATTTGGGGTGATGTTAGAGTTGAGGGTAGTAGCAGAAAACCAAGACATAAGAAATTACATGAAGGAATAGGAGCTCCTGTTTCTAGGGAGGAACGGTGATATAATTCCTTTAAGTAATTGCTTTAGACCGAAATGTATTTTCTTTTCTGAATAGATTCTGTTTACTTCTTAATTGAATTATTCTTTAGTATTTCAGTATGAGGAAGAAAGGTAGATCTTGGTTAAATGCAGCCTGAATAATGATATTCTCTATTTAGTTTCTTAAGAATGGGAGTAGATTTTTAATAAGAAAACTTAGTAATTGAAAATGTTTAAAAGGTACGTCTAGCAAAATTCCTGAATGGGAGTCAGTCCTTTATGTGTATTATTTGCCTTTCATAGTAAAGCAGTGGACTTGTAATTTGAAGCTACTTTTTTAGATAGTGTAATACAAATTACTGCATCCACACAGAGTATGCATACCTGAATCATTGGTGTAATATAGGTCTTTCCTATAATTCTTGTATATACCAAATTATTTAATATTTGTTATATTCTTAATCTGGCATTGTTGAGGGCAAAAATAAGGACTCCTCTGTAAAAATTTAGGAATATACCAACTAGTTGTATCAATCCTCTACACTGTTACATGACTTTGCATAGTATATTTCAATGTATCTACACTTCAAATTTGACTAGTAATACTAAATATATGTTGATTATCTGCTTTATTTCTAAAAAGTATGTGTATAATTTCTACTTGTAAATCATAAATCTCATCTGTGTCACTTTGGATTGCTTAACTTCTCAAATT